GCCGCCCCCCGAAGGGACGGCCCTTCGACCGCTCCTGCCGCGGCTCTTGTGAAAAGGCGGCGGTCCTGAGGAGAGCCGGCGCCCGGGGCGAGGCACGCCAGAAAGGCAGGACCGGCCGCTCCTCGGGAAGTCCCGCGCTGCCTCCCCGCCGGCCAGGAGAAGCCAGCGGCAAAGCCCGTCAGGGCCCGGGGGGCCCGGGGGAGGGGAGGGGAGAGAAGGGAAGGGGTTACACCGTCGGCCCGGTTCCAAAAAAGCCCCGGAGGGAGGGAGGGAGGCGGCGAGGGGAAGATCCCGGTGGGTCCCGTGGGCTGCGCCTGCCTGCATTCTGACGTGCAAGGTGTGGCACAAGGGAAGGGCTCCAACTCGGGAGGGAAAGCATCCACCCGCTTTCCGTGCCCGCCTCCCTGCAGGGATGCCTCCAGACTGGGTAAAAGGTGGAAAGGCCGGAGCAAGCACTTGGTGACACCCCCCCCCCCAAAATCCATGGCAAAAGCCGATGGATGCGGTGGAGACGCTGCAAAGCAAGATTTTCGAACTCAAGCCCCTCTAATGGTGTTCCTTAATTGACTTTAAGAGTCATCCTCTCTCCCTCCCCCCAAAAGTCTTTTGGAGAACAGAACAACTGATGCCGATGGATGCGGTGGAGACGCTGCAAAGCAAGATTTTGGAACTCAAGCCCCTCTAATGGTATCCCTTAACTGACTTTAAGAGTAATCGTCTCTCCCTCCCCCCCAAAAAAGTCTTTTGGAGAACAGAACAACTGATCATCACACTGGGAAATGTCTGTTTCAATGGTTCCAGCTTGGGGGGGAAAACTCAAGTAAAAGTGGAAGGGGGAGCAAAAAGGCTTGGTTGATTGAAATTGGCCTTTGTATCATGCAATAAGTTTTTAAAAAACAAACTCCAAATTCTTTAACTTTGCACTTGCAGCAAATCCTGCAGTATTTGACTGTAGTCACAGCCTCATTGAACTGTCCAGCCAGCCCCAAACTACTATTTCTAAAATACTGCTACTATGGTTTAATTACTTATTTCTTATATTCATATCCTACCCATTCTCAGAATTGCTCAAGGTGGCATCCCCAACACTCTTCATCCCCACCATAACTCAGTGAGGCTGGTCATGCCGAGGGAGTGTGACTGGCCCAAGGTTCACCCAATGAGTTTGACAGACAAATGGAGGTTTGAAGTTTGAGACCGGGTCTTCCAAGTCTTAATTCAGTGGTTCAAGCATTATTCCATGCTGGTTCTTGTGGTTTTATGCGCAGGTATCTAGAACAAATTGCTGGCTGGATAGCTCTGTGGTTTAGGTTTCTGGCTGCAGAGCTAGAGGTTGAGAGTTCAAATTTATCACTGTGCATCCAAGGAGAGCCAGCCTGTGTGGCCTTGGGCAAGCTGCACAGTCCCAGGATGCCCCCTCTACCTGGAAAATCAGGAAAAGGGTCAGCATATGTCAGACGTAACTTGATGGCACATAGCTATTGTTATCTAGACTATGCTAGAAATGGCGTCCCAAGTAGTCCCCAGGTCACAATAAAATAGGGGAAAGGGACAATTTAAGAATACTAACAAAATGCCAGTGGAACAATTAAAAACAGCAACAACGATAGCAGCTGAAAGATCCAAGTTTTGTGTAAGCAAGATAAAATCAAACCCAGTCATTACAGCCAGTATAAAATATTTTCTGATTAACCTGGCATGGTGATTAAAATGCAGTACTGCAGTCAACACTCTGTTCACAACCTGAGTTTGATCCCAATGGGCTGAGGCAGCCACCTCAAGGCTGATCAAACCATCCATATTCGAGGCAGTCACCTCAAGGCTGATCAAACCATCCATATTTCCAAGGTCAGTAAATTAAGTGCCCAGCTAACTTGGGAGGGAGCAATGTGTAGCCTGCATAATTAAATTGTAAATAACACAGATAACGTGTTAAGTGTTATAGGGCAGTATATAAGCAGCATAGTTTGCTTTGCTTTAATCTGATGGTGGAATATATATATTGAATAGCTATATATTGTATACAGTGGTGCCTCGCTTAGCGATGTTAATTCATTCTGAAAAATCGCTGCTAAGCGATTTCATCGCTAAGCGAAACGTGGTTTCCCATTGAAATGCATTGAAAACTGGATAATCCGTTCCAATAGGAATGAATTGCCGTCCTTAAGTGAAAATCACCATAGGAAACATCGCTAAGCGAAACGCAGTTCCCTAATTGAAATCCATTGATATCTATT